ACAAATTTTACGAAATCAATAAAGTATCGGTAAAAATCCCAAAATTTATAACTATAATCTAAGACATGAAGCAGCACAAAACACATTTCTCTTGAATTTCATTTATAAAATACATTTTCAACACATTTTTTATTTTTATTGAAAATCCTTTTTTCATTTGATATTATTTTTTTTTTTGCAATAAGAAATATTTTTTACTCTTTTGGGAATGTTAAAATTTATTCAAATTCAATAAATCGAATGCAACAATTTAATGATGCATAAATACGTTCACATGCCTTACGTGCGATGCGTTCCACAGAATAAATGGAGCTATTAAAATTGCATTGAAGACAAGTGCGCTCCACTTATGGGTTAACTGCACGTACTTTCATATCAATACCAATATATCTGGCGCAAGGAAATCGCACGTGAATATAGGTCTGTGCATAATATTGAGGTGAAATCGTACAAAACAAAAAAAAAAAATAGTAATAATAAATTGAAATTGGTGACATCGTCGATTCCATGCAATGTTTAAGAATTTATTGGATAAGTTAAAATAGTACAATTACAATAAAATAGAAATTTCAATCGAAATATTTTATAACTAAAATTGTTTTATTTCGCAAAGAGAACTGCTCTTTGCAAGAAGTTCTAAAGAATATCATAATTTCAGTATAAACAAAATAAATATAGGTAAATAAAATTTTAAATAAAGTTCACGAAATTAATGTTAAATATATCCTTACCAAGCTACATAAAAAATTGTATATCTTCCAACTTGGTTTTGATAATGATTTCAAAATTATTTGTTGGAATATCACCTTCTTATTATTCTTAACACCATCTTCTTATAATAGTACAATATTATTAGTAGTGTTGCATTATATCCTAAGTGCGAAACTTTATTTTGTCTATTATAAATAGACAAAAATTGATATGGATTGGTCAATCATAGGAACCCGGTCGTAGATGATAATAAGTCGTTTAAGTATATCACAGAAACATACTACTTTGAAGAATGTGGAGATGCATGAAAATTATAAACTGTGTTAAACCAATATTATTTACTCTATTATAAATAAACAAAAAGGGATAAAGATAAGTCATTGAAAGTAAGCCGGTCACATAACACTGTTACTTGACTTTGAAAACCTCACCGTTGATGATAAAAAGAATTCCAAAAATATCATAGAAAAATACTTCTTTGAAAAATATAGAAGATGCATGGAAATTATAAAATGTGTCAAACCAAATATTATTAACTTTATTATAAATAGACAAAAAGGGATTGAGAGTGGTCACTGAAAGGAAGATAAACTCAACGGTCGAAGATGAAAAGACGTTCAAAAATATCATAGAAACATACTACTTTGAAGATAATGGAAGATAAACTGTGTTAAACCAAATCTTATTTACTCTATTATAAATAGACAAAAAGGGATATAGAGTGGTTACTCAAAGGAAGCTGGTCACAGAATACTGTTACATAACTTTGAAAGCATCAACGTTCAATGATAAAAAGGCGTCCAAGAATAGCATAGAAACATGTATGAAAATTATTTACTATATGAAACCATTAGCTACCAACTGCATTCGCTGTAATATTATAATAGAACGTCACGGTTTTGAGTGGAGCTGAATAAAATAATGAATAAGAAAATAAAAAAATACATCGGCTCATACTTTAAAAGTTGCCTTGGCTTAAATATACACATTGGGCTTGGAATCAATTGACTTACACCCTGCTGCACCAGCTCTGACGAAAAATTCTCGCGTTAATTCCATTTTTTCTCGTACAGTCAATTTACAAATCACTGCAAATACTATTTGTCTTATCTCCTTTGACAAAAAGTATACGGTAGGTTATGTTTAATTAAACAAACATTCCAAACTTTCATATGTAAATGTCAGGTCACACCTGAGAACAATCAATGTTGCCAATTCTCAAAATATAAATAGGTACCCTCGTATTTCTTCTTTTCACTGTGGCTAAAACAGTTTTGTAATACAGTAAGTTTCACTTAATATTGGGAATACAGAAAGCTAAGTAATCAAATAAATTCATACTATTTTATATAAATATTATAATTTTTATTGAATGTTCAATACAAAAAAATAGTATTGAAATTTAAAAATTTAAACTTAAAATTTAATTATTTATCATTATAATATAACACAGCAAATGAATTTGTTAATAAACTTTCACAGCAAATGAACAAAACTGCAGATAAATGTGCGAACATAAAATCAATTACGGCTTTGGGTCAGTTGGTGAAAGTGCGCTGACTCTGAGCTTCAAATTTGGCAGGGCACAGGTTCAACCCTTGGTAATTACAGCCTCACAAAATTATTTATAAATAATTAAATGTAAGAAATAATTTCAAGTGAACTGATGAAGGGTATTTGGCAATACCTTCAAATATTCAAGTAATTAAAAATAAATAAATATTTAAGTTGTTGCAGTTTACCATAATATTGTTAAAAAACTCTCTGTTACTCCTTTAATTAAATTTATTAAATTCTAAATATTACAAAAGTAAGGCAAAATTAGCACTTTTTATAAAATTCGTAAATTGTGTTTAACTTCACTTAGAAGTCAGAGATTATTTACAAAATACTTAAAATCAAGTTCATATGAAATACTGAATTTTAACTTCAAATATTAAAAAAAAATCATATAAAAATAAAAAAAAAATTTGACTGCAAAAATTAGAAGTAAAAGTTTAGTAAAATATTTGGTATTTACAGATGGTTGTTTGGACTTAGAGATTGGAACTGTTCCGCACTTAAACAAGCAGGAAACATGCTATGATAACCTCATCCTTCCTTGCAATTCGAACATTATGGTTCGGAATGTTAAAGTGCATTTCTCTCCTCCTCTTCTTATTATTATTATTTTTTTTTTAATATTTCATATGCCTTCCTGGGTTGTTCTAAAGTTTCATTTTAATCCCGTTTATTTCGTTTTTGGTTTCACTTCAATTTTATGTACTTAGTAAAGTTTTTAGTTTAGGTATTATTTGTGCTTAAGTAAGTGCAACACTAATTCTATGGCTCTAGCTCCGGCTCAGGCTCATATTTGCATAACTGCTCGCATTTCAATAATCCTTTTTAATTACATTTAAAGTGCAGGATGATTTGCTTAGTGTTAGATTTTCCATATTTGAGCTTCGAGACTGAATGCCTTTGGGGCATGCAATGTATGCAGAATGTTAGGATTTGATAGCAGAGTTCAGTAAATTTGTTGATATTTGATAGAGTATCTAAAACAAATTGATATTTGTCTGCGCATGTTAAAGTAAATTCTCTAAAATGTTCTCACAATATATAAAAAATATACATTTTTTACTAAAAAAAATTGTAGTATTGGACGTGAATAATAGAAAGGAATATGAATTGCTGAGTTGATTTGTTCAACTAAAATTTAATACAGAAAAAACATAAGAGAATCATGTATGTATTAATGTAATATGAATGTAAGAATAGTATAAAATTGATGAAAAAGCTGAAATAAATTACAAATTTATAAAAGTTTATCATTTTTGAGCCTTAAATCAGTAAAGTTAACAACTTATCCTCTTTATATTCACAAGAAAAAAATTACGTCTTATTTCAGTTTTTATTGCAGACTATATTCCTTTGTGAACAAAATCCCAAAGACATTTACCCAACGAGTGAATTTTGCAGAGTTAACACCGAAAATTTCCTAACTTTCATTATTTATGTTATTAACCAAATTATTATCCATGACATCACAGGGTTCTGGAACCCATATAAAAGGTAGTCTAACATTTTACATATAAGTTTATTTACTTACATATGTGGGTGGCCTCACCTAACAAACCGTTGCTAGGTTTTGATACAACACATTTCATATCAAGCCCACAAATAAGTAAGATATTTGACTTATCAATGAATGAGTTATCTGATTTTCATTGAAATACATGCACCTCAATAATATAATAAGTTTGTAGTATTTCATATATCTCAAGCATTGTTAACAGTAAATGATATGAAAAGCAGGATCGCCTTCATTTATAAAGCTACACACAAGTTTCTACAATATGCTGAAAACATGTGGACCTTATGACATAAACAACTGGATATTCTAGAAACGAATGGATCTTTTATATAACAATGAATATATAGTATTCTTTTAAAAATAAGAAATTAATAAAATTTTATTGAAGTGTTTTTTTTATAAATATAAACAGTACATGACTTGAACCTATAAAAAGCATGTCTTGAAAGTGATTTAAAAAAAATTTCCAGCGAATATTAAGGACCCTATTCGAGAAATCAGAATATCAGTCATTTCAATGGATTGAAATTTACATTTAATAAATGCTCCTAATCCAAGTGGTGGTCATAAATCATATAAATCATATAAATCGAAAAAGAGTATATTTGGAAACGAAAACTGGAGTTATATTTTACTGTGGCAGTTTAATTCACTTTACCTGCTCCACAAACTCCCCGTTCATCTCTGCCACATCTATGTTTGCGGCCCTAGATGAACCTAGACCTCTAGGTATTAAGCCTCATGACTACATTTCTACACCATAATTACTGAATAAAGTTTCCATATTGCGGTGATAATCGTCTCCAATCATTCGCAAAAAGTATTTTTAATGAATTAAAGTCTCACACTCTGACTTTCGATACTTTCCTTTAAAAAAAAAAAGATTTTTAAATTGACTGAGCCAAACAAATGAGAATTCCAACTTTGATTAATAGACGATTATTGTTAATATCCCATATTTTAACAATAGAACTATCATTCCATCTACAACAGACATTGAAAAGACCATAGCTATAGTAGAGTCTATATGCTTTATAGCACAAATAGAACGTTAGCGTTAATCATTTATATAAGAGATATATATACTCATAGGTAGTATTTTTAATACTATTAAAAAATAATCATAGCAAGCGCACAAAGTTATAAATTAAATGTTAAGATAAATCGTCTTACTATTATAATCAGATAAAAAATTTTTGGTTTGAATGTTGTAACAATTTTTCAGAAGTTTAAAAATAAACTTTTGGGAAAACGTCAAAATTGTATCCAAAATTTTTTTTTTATATCTTGTATTTTGTCTAATTGAATATGGAAAAACTACGGAATTTAAGAAAACATATAACGTCCACAATACTAAAGAAAAACTACCGCGATAACTTAGAAGTCATTAGAGGCCAAATAATAACTGAGACAACGAAACGCGTCAACAATGAGAAGTATGTCCATAACTTAAAACCATGGTGTAGTCAAAGCATGAAATCTTTTAAAAATCATTTGCGAGAAAAAGATAATACCTATGAAGAAATACTTAGGCCCAATACAATTTTTACAAAGAATGCAATAACATCTTATTGTGCAACAAGGTCTTCACATCCCCCGAATGCACGTGTGGTTTTCTTAACAGGTAAAAATGAAGGTCTTGACAGTTGCTTACTATATGAGGTATATGATAAACACGTACAAACCGAAGATTTGTCAGACGATCCTGCCACAAAAACGTTAAATTCTCAATGCCAGAAAAGATCAGGATATATCAATCCCCATATGATCACTGAGTTTCTTATAGCTTTGTTCAAAATAGATCAAAAATAATGTAAGTAAATGTAAATGCAATATATAATATATATAATATAATACATATAATATAATATATATAATTATAATATATAATATTTGTTATATAATGTGTCGTACCAACAATATTATATATATGTATATATATTTGTATAGTTTATGCGTATAATATCAAAAAGCAAGTTAAAGCACTACCCTCTATGCGTTGAAACCTCTAACTTAAACCTTGTATTAAATTCAAAGTTCTTTTCCTTTTTCTTTAAATTTTTTTTTAATAGTTTGATTAAAAATCTAATGGTATTAAGATAGTTTAATAATCTTGAATGTTTTTATCATATTTTAAAAGATATTCTTAATGATAATACAGTCCACTATTTTATTATGTTGAGGCTAGTTGAGTTAGTACACTTGAACAGTTTTACTCTGTATTAACTGCAAGGTTTCTTCATAACCCCTCTCTACGCCTTGACTGGATTATTGTTTATGACTTCATCAGACTAAGCAATAACTGACCTCTAATCTGCATATTCTGATCGAAGATACCGGGCCCTGTTTTGGATAAAATATAATAGTTCTTCGAGTTGCTTAATTAAATTAGGACATATATATGTAGGTACCTAAAGTCTATATGCTTTGACATCCTTTGATCTATAAAATCAAACCGTAATTCTCCTCTGGAATGCATGTTTTTCCACGGCAACGAGTTTTTGGAATCTTGTTCTTTCAATTCTAACTACTGTAGTTCATTCTTCCATTTTGGGCCCATAGGTGTACCACATCCGGAAGTTGTTTTATATTCGTATGTGATTAATGCATTCATTTTTCGAATTGAATTAGAAAATTCATCTCGATACAATTTTATTAGTATTACTCAGAAGCTTTGACATTTTCTTTTAACAATATTGTTAAAATATCTATCCTATTTTCATTTTTAACAAACCACCAATACCGGATTGTTTTTCTTAGATGTCTTTAAACCTTCGCCTTTAGATTAATGAGGGTATTGTTTGCGAGTTTTGGGTAGTATTATAAAACCTTTGACTCTCAAAGGTTTCGGTAAGAATTTATCGGTCATTCCACTAGTCATCACATCACATCAAGTACACAGCCACCAATAATGATTTAAAGACAATCCTTCGAACTTTATTTGATCCGTACAATGGTTTCCACGTTCACTGTGGAGTTTTTAGTGCTAAGACTAGCACTAAATTATATCAAATACAGATTTGTTGATAGGAATACTTTTTAGTAAATGTATGAAAATTATGTAGCTTTAGATTTGTGGAGAGTGTGACTCATGTATCGATCAAGTTAGAGCCATAATTAGCGATAAGACGACCTTATTCGAAATTAATACAAAACAGTTTTTCGGAATCAATATAACTTAATTTTAAATATAAAAAAATGTCCATTCGAAAGAGTTTTTATTCAATTGATACACTCTGTATATATGTATTATATTATTTTAATATATCATCCATATATTATCAATTATAAAGGACATAGATAATTTCTTTGCTTCTTGTGCAAATGGGGTTTTAATGTAATAAAAACTCATAAAAACTGCAAAACATTTTATTTATTTAAATATTAACGATTTATGAATTTATTGTGTATATTATTATTGTGCATTAATTAGTATCTTTTGCTATATATAGTTTTTATCATATTTGTATCTTTACCTCACACATAATACTGACAAGATTGCAACAAACATAAATATATAAATTTTTTATCTTTTCGTAGAGATTTGGACGGTGTGGTAATATATGCTGCTTACTATACTCTCTCTATTTCCTGAAACATCTTTGACCAGGCGTTCATCAAATAGAGAGAGTATAAAAACAACATCTGACGGAGCAGCTCATTTGCATCACTAGTGTAACCAATATGATTACTAGAGTTGGTTGTAAGTTGGATATCCGATATTTAATTTTGAAATTGAAAATGTATAAACATCATCTACATCACCATAGCAGGTAAATATTTACAACAGTAAATCATATTTAAGTCTCTTATCTACTAAATTTAATCATTAAAATAAAATAAGGGAACAATTGGAAGAGATTTGGATTCAAGATGGAGTGTACAATTACAGGAGTAAACCACTGTATTATTTATGACAACGAAAGCATGGCATCGGAAAAGGTTGATGCCATTGGATGTTGAATACAGAAAAGATGTTTAAACTTTGACAAGTTTTAGAAATAAGTCGGTGTTGATACTTGCTTACAACTCTAGTTGCAGCCATAAGAATATCTGATGTTATTTCTAGCAGGTATATATAATTATGATCTTACAATAAAAAATTTAAGTCGTGCTTAGAAAATGATTACTTTCTTTACTATAAAAATGGTATCTGCTTATTTCACACAAAAATTCCCAGCAACATATATTGATAAGCAACGTTTCTTGTATATACTAACTCAAAGTATTCGCATTTTTTTTACTTCCAGGCACCAGGTTGATAGCTTAACCACAACGTGGATTTCTTCAGCCACTAGGACCATGCAATACAAACCACCGGCTATCATTTGCATTCATCCAATACTAGCACGAGATATTTGTGCAATACATTTATCTCCGAGACTTATTCACGATTTCAATTTCCGAGATGTATCTGACCGGCATTAATTTGCTTTTGTCTGGAACTAAGATAAACTATTATTTACCATGCCATTCCATTTAATTAACTTTAACACGACCTCGATTTCCAACATCTTTCGGATTGCGTGCACAACACCCACAACAAAGACGACCGGATTCGTTTTGCATTTGTTCCGTAGATATAAAACCAATTTAAGCCCTATATAGTTCGGTCAACTTTTCCTGTGTCGGTATTAGAGCCAAATCTTTTTTTAACCCAAAACCTATATTCCAATATGACGTCTAGGATGTGTGTATACGCTAATCAATTATTTAGGAACACAAAAGAAAATAAAAAATTGAACAATGTTTCTGGAGAATATAGAATATATTCTAGAATATTGCAGAAACTATATATTTGAAAATGTAACAGAAATTTTTGAAACAAACATAAAAAACCGAAGGACTGCCCATAACAAAAATATTGGACAAAATTACAGTTTATTATAATAGTGTAATTATGTTATAATAAAAATATTTTGAAGAAAATTATATGCAAAAAACACATCAACACATCTATCCGAAGTAACCAAATAGATTATACCTAAATATATGAAAGAATTTGATAAAACAACTTCACAGAAAACAAGAGCTATAACAAAATATATGAGAGAATTTATGAAACTAACTTTAGAAAAAACTAAAACTTAAGATATAACGAATATAACGAAAACACCATTGAAAACTCCATAGAAGAATTTTGGACAAAATTACAGTGTATTATGTTATAAAAAAATTTGTTTTGGAATTAAAATTATAAGTAAAGAAAAAAATCCAACTTTGTATTTTTCTTTATTGACATCGTGTTATGTTAAACCTTTTCCGAGTTAGTGGATCTGGGTACTTTTACTCTATGATAGCTGGAGGCATTCTGCAGAGTTCCGCCCATCTCACTGACTAATTTGAGTATTTCTGATAATCTTCGTGATTATTCAATGATTGATCTAAGATCTGCGTACCGCCCATTGCGGTTAGTGATTACTCTGAGCTTAGATAGTGCTAAGTAGGGTAACCTGTCGGTTTTCGCATATAGCTTCAGAGCTTTGTCTCTTATGTATTTTTTGACCGAATCTATTCTAAGGTCTCTTAGCATGTCATTCGTGCGGATGTACCATAGTACTTTGAAGAGCCTTCGAAGAACCTGACTTTGAGCAACTTGTAGCTTTTAGATAGTATAGTCGGCAGCTTTGCTATATGCGACAGACCCATAAAGTAGTGCTGGTCTAATTATCTGAAAAATGGTTGTAAGCAGTACAGTGTTTTTGCGCAACTACTTCTTTTGACTTGAAATCATGTCAATATAATATAATTCTTGCCTTATCTAATTAGACTAGAACTATATAGACAGTTATATGATGAATGATCATTAAAATATTATGCTCTTTTTGGTCATAACCAAAAGGTATACTCTATAAGACGTCATATCTCAACTCTCAATTTTTATATGCTTTTATTCTCAATTTTATAAGGTAATATTAAAGCATAACCGCACAAAAATATACATATTTACTGCTAGAAGATGCAAATTCTGATATTATATTAAGCAACACTTTTTTGAGCAAGGTGGCAAAGCCCACAAAATCTTATCAGAGTGACTAAATTTTAATCGAAATTTCTCTCTATCTTTTATTCTCAGTTATCTAATTACATTGAAAACAACAAATTCATATGTGACGTGACCATGACTATCTGTGTATAACAAGGCCCTTATAAATATATTCCAATTTTAATTATTAATATTAAAAGTTAAATTTGACTTAAGCTCTGCACTGGTCTCGTCATTTACTATAATTAATAATACAACTAATTTAATATATTCGTAAGTATAGAGACTATTCATCTAAAAACCAATTGGTAGATTATATCTACTGTTTGGTAGTGAGGCAAACGGAAAGGCTACAAAATCTATTCTCAATAAATGTCGCTAACAACTACCAAAAAAGTCAAGTCCAGTACCTCCATACTACTTTCATTGAACTATAGATTTATTAAATCTTAAACCAAGAAATATGTTTAGGCTTATCTATTTCTCTTTCTCTCTCTCTCTCTCTCTCTCTCTCTCTTATCCTTATCTCCCAGTGGAGCATAGGGCCTCTACCATCTTTTTATATCGCATTCGGTTAGTTGATTCACGGCATATGTCACTCCAGGAATAGTTCGCTTCTCATCTATAGCTTTTGTAAAATTTTTTCATATTAGCTAAATAGACTCTTTAGGGATAGCACAATTGATCTCATAAGTAAACTATAGTAAACTATTTTCTGATAATTACTAATACTATATGAATTATATGGTAATATATTTCTAGGATAGATATTTTCACGCACCTTTAAACTAATTTTAAAGGTTTAAAAACCTTTTAATCTTGTATGTCAGCTAATAGAAGTATACCAATCATTTTATGAGTAATATATATAAGTCGTGTCTCTATAATGTAGTAGAGGCCCAACTTATTTTAATGCTGTATCAATTGAAATATTAAATAAATAAATAGACTTAGAATTACAGACGTGATAAGTCAAAAAAACTTTTATATATTTGAGGTAAGCAGTAATAATTATCTTTAATCCTAAGATTTGCTCTAACAGTCTTATGAAAAAGAGACTAAAAGGGAATCAGCCCCTTTTATTTTCATTTGCTAAATGCATTTATTATTAATTAAAATTTTTAATTGTTTTGATTTTTATTAATCAATGTTCTTAAGCAAATCTTAAACCTCATATCAATCAACATTTTGCCATCTCTTCTGTTAAGAAACGCTGTGTTCCCGCCACCATGTTACTGGTACACTTCTCAGCAGCAGCAACACTTGATTGAGTAAGTTGACGTGTACGTAACAGGGTGTTACTAGCAACTTTAAGCTGCTTACCAATTTCAATATTAATATCGGCCATCCTATTGACAAAGCAATTGGTACTGCTTGAGAATGTGGTAAGCATGTTGCAGACAACGGGTAAATTGACGATTTCATCAATGAACGTTTGTAAAGCGCTAGTAATACCGGCTGCATCGCTCTCAAAGGCTTGCATAATTTCACTAATATCTTGTGTACATTCCTGCAGTTCACCATCGATCCGTTTTCGTAAATCGTTCATGCTCCAGTCGAGCTCACAAGTACCAGACGTTAGTTTTTGATCAGCTTCATAGATTGGTGTAGACAACTCAGACATTGCATTTGCTATTACAACTTCCATATTGCCAAGTAAAGAGCTGGACGTACGTTCAATCTTAGAACCCAATTCCAAATTTAGTTCATCTGTAATACTAGCCACATTGTAAGCTAAGCTCTCCATGACACCTGTAACTGGTCCTGTGTTAGTTGTCTGCACATCATTTGCTTTTAGCTATAATGAAAATTATTTTTGATTGCTGGAATACTATACAAACGGCATATGATAAATTATCTTACCTGTTGACTAAACAGTGTTACTATCAAAACAACCACAAAAGTACACATCAGAGACATAGGTTTTTAAATACTTTACTACTTCGATTGCTGTCAAATCACAAAATAGTAGAAAATATCACAATGAAATGACGACTCACCATTGACTCTTATCTCTACTGCCAAGATAAAGTAGTCATTCCCTTACAAGTCGATAACATATTTTATCTTGTAGATCTTGCGCCGAATATAGACATTCAATTACAATAATTATTTTTAGTGAATTTAATTTAATTGTTTTTTAATCAAATATTTTGCCAAAAAAATACCAAAAATCAGTTTATTATTAGGCGTTTTATCTTCAACTGCTCTTTTGAAGGCGCATAAAAGATGAAAGTCTACAAGATTTTTTTAATTTTTTTTTTCATTGTAAGTTAAAATTGAGTATTTGAATTAATATTAAATTAATTAAACAATTTTAATTATAATAATTTATTAATTCACTAAACAGCACCTCACTGCAGCCAGTAGTAACTTCTCACAGTTGGCGCTACGTAAACATGGTCCACTCTATGAAGCTATAAAGTTACTCATTTCTGATGAACAGTACAACGCCCAATTAGTCTGGAATGAGACAATAACCCAATACGATGATTTTCTACTACAACTTCAGGAGGCAGAGGCCAAAATACAATTTTACAATAGTGTGGTAATAAAAAGATTGGAAGAATTGAATGCCAATTCACGGCCGGCGGGAATGAATGCCTGTATTAAGGAATACGAACGTGAAATTGCGCATTTCAATCGCGAAATTTTAGAAAAGTACAATTGGTGTATGCTAAGCTTAAACACCGCTGAGGCATTAGTTAAGAACTTGACCAAGGAAGAGCTAAAATATATAGAAAATGCACCCATGGAACTGAAAAATGTTACGAAAGTCTGTAATGTGGCTCTGCTGAAGTCAGGGCGCGGTGACCAAAAGGGCATTACACTCTGTGTTGTTTCAAAAATTGGTCAAATAGATCAAAAACTTGTTGAATCAACACAATGGTGTATGAATATTATATCTGATATATCTTTTGCTGATTCTGAAATGTCTTCAGCGGAAAGTTGTCGTGATTTTGATGATTTGCAACAGGAATTCAATTTGGTATATGAGAAAGTACAAAATTGCATGAGAACATTTTAAGCAAAAACGTTAATAGTTTATTATAATTATTTTTTGATTGAAAATTTTTTTGAAATTAAATTAAAATAATTTAAATAGCAAATTTTGTATTTTTATTTATTAATTTTTGTGTTTTGTCTACAGTAAATCTTTTTGTTAACTTCGTAAAGTCTTTTTACTAAGATTGCAGTCCTTAAACATTGAAGTTAAAATCTATAGTAAATTAATTTTTTTATTTTATATAAATCGTATTGTGGACATAAGAAGATCTAATAGATCTTCAAATAGCGATATAACATAGACGTATTTTTAACAGTTACCAATTGGAAGCTTACTAGATTTTTTCGGATTTTAAACGATAAAACTAACACAACAAAGAGGAAATGCAATATTAATGCTGCTATTTACAGAGCTTCTAAGATAATTCCATATATAAATACATGGTTTTTAAAGAAACCATCACCAAGTGGGTGCCGTTTTATTACCACACACTCAGACATGCAAAACTAAGTTCTATGCCGTCGAGAGGGACACAAGGTTTGAAAGATCTTTGTTTTGAATATCCAAAAGTCTCATTAGTGTTTAGATTTTGTAATTTAATATCCATATATTTATTAGTATTCAATTGTACCCCTTCTCATTATAGCTTCTGCATTTCTGATTGAAATACCATTTTCAACCATCCATTTTTTGACATGGATGAAGATTTTTGACATGGATAAAGACTGATTAGTTCGTAAATTTAATAGTGGAGTGTCTATGTATTTATTAATATTGAATTATACCTCTTCTATCTTCTTCCATGCAGCTTCTATATATCTGGTTAAACTTAACTTTTTTTACATAGGTGTCCACTAGTCTTATTAGCATCGTCACCAATTCCATCACTTCGATATCTGCTGTCCTGAGTAAAATTTTTTTTCCGCATTAATTGTAGCTTCTAGTGTGTAGATTGCAGCACCCAGTTAACTATAATTTCCCATTTGTATTCTACTACTATTACAATTATTTACCTGTGGCGTTACCTTTGTAACGCTTTTTACTGAGATCAGTATTTATTCCGTAGCATTCCGTAAGGTTGCTTTTAATCTTAGTTCGGTTAGTACATTTGCATTTTAATTTACTTTTTGCCACCAATACATGAATATTATTATTCCCGAATTACTCCCTAATCTCAGTTAACTTGAACACTGTAAACTATCAACTAAGCTATTACATAATAAAATTGCTTATCGACCATTGGATCCCCAAGTAAAATATTTTGAACTTTAAACTTCAAGATAATCCAAAGTACCGACTTAACCCAAATTAGACCAGAAACTAACCAGTCAGCTCAGCACTTTGGTATCAGCGCTAACTGGTCAGTGCATACTAGAAAGACATACTATGAAACATGTTCTATCCTATAATGGCTTTTTCAGGGTTGTGACTTTGCGGATGAGTAACCTGTACTTCACCTCCTGATAATGTACATCATAGGCGAGGAAAAAATTCAAAATCTTTGTGGCCCATTTTGTTACCGACCTGACAGATCTATCATCCTTGAAAATTAGAGACCAAGATTTGTCCCGTAGAGTCATGAGCTGATGTACTACGGTACTTTCATTAATCCTTTTGGTCTCTGTATAGACAGTGCTAATTTTTGGCATCATAATTAGTCATTATTTGAGCTGAAGTGGGTTTAGAACACAAAGTCGCCACTCCAACCTGATATATATTAAGTCAAAATATGCTAATTCTGTGTCATTATATGAAAAATATTTGAACTTAATTTTTATGACTATTATATTCGTACTTAATTTTGATTACTATTATAGCTTAACCAAAAAATTGCAGATAGAACTTAAGTATGCTTTTATGAAATTGCACTCAACATAAGTATTTTTATGTCAAAGCATTTGACTTTCTAATCAATTTAATGTAAAATAAATATTTTCATATCAGTACATCCTCCTTTTACAAATTGATTGTTTTCATGTCAATGATTTAAAAGTTACTTGTAAGCAGTGCTTAATTGCCTAAAAGTTTACAATAAATTAAACAAAAATTTCAGATAAATTAAACCAACCTTACGGACCACTTAAAAGCACACTTGCAACAACACAAACACAAACAAACACCGACAAAAATAATTTAATAAATTGTTTTCTTAGAAATAACATAACTTCATAAGCCCCACAATGCAGAGTAGAAGTAGAAGAAGTAAAATTCCCTTTCTTGCTATTTCCCCCTTCTCCAGATATAATAGGAAGTTTTGGTCAAAAGTGAAAATTTTATTTATTTATAAAAGGTTACAAGCCATAAAGATGCAAGCAAACTTGTTAACACTTTAAAGTCTTCTGTTTGATGGCACAACAAACCATAAACTTCACATATGAGTGGAACACTAACACCAACACAAAGCCACACACACACAACCATTTAGGTGTATATAAACAATATTAAAAGTAACTCATGGTTTACTTGGCTTCTTTGGCTGGAAATTGTAAAGTTCATATTATTTATTTGTATAGATTTTCCTGTATTTTTGGTATTACTACTTGTACACATGTATTTGCATGTGTGTGTAATTGCTTGCTGCATGTGCTCAGAAAACCACTACATTCGAACATTTTATCTTAAGCTTTTTCATTTATTTAAATTTTTGGTTTTGATATGCTTTCTGCAACTTTTTGAATATGAAATGTGTTGCATACTTTTATGCGGCTTTCACTCACCAATGGTCATGTTTTGCATTACAGACACTTTCAGACGTCTTGGTTTTTAAGTGCAAATTTAAATAAAATCTATACAATATTCTTAAATAATAATAATTGAGTTTTATATTTTAATTCAGTAAAGTAAATATATCGACAATTATTTTTACTAAACCAAGGAAGAAAACAGTATAACAAATGAGTAGTGTAATACATTTATCTTAAAGATAAATATTTATTACTTAACAAATTTATGTTAACATTTTAATCAAACTATTTATGTTTCCATACTTTTGTAGTATTAATTAAAATTTGAAATGAAAACTTCTTTTACTTCACATATCTTCACTATAAATGAATGTAGAAGATAAATACAAAAAAGTCGATATTAACATCGTTCAAGTGACGAAATAGTAACAATGCTAGATACTATCTAATGATGTATAGTAGACTTCCATGGTTCCCAGAACGGCTGGGTCTACGTTCCGGAACTACTCGTCGAAGACAACCAAGCGCCGTTCAACATCCCTCGAAGGTGTCACATAAGCAAATCCCGGCGGGGTATAACAACAGTACACTTCCATAATAAATTGTGTATAGGCACTGCAATACAAATTCCAATCACATAAATAATACAGACTAAACAAAATCAGTCAAACATCACAACGGACTTTACGTGAATATCATTTGAACATAACACATAAATTAACCTTCTAGTTCCGAAGGAACTAAAAAACTAAACTACTGTGACAGTGTCAAGAATCATTATAAGATGCTGAATTTTATGATCCCTATTTAAAAACTTTTTTATTGAACAAATATTGCTTATTTATTTTAAAACTGTACCCAGTAATTTTTTCAAACACAAACAGTGACAAGTAGAGTGTTAATCCTGACTTCCCAGACACAGCTATTTGGTATCTGATTTTAGTAAAACTTTTTGGATATAAGCTGTGTTTAACATTTCTCACTAACTCTTTGTGAATATATATTAATTTTTGAAACATCGGGCTTCCAAATTGCACAAATTTGTATACGAACACTATTAATAAATATTGGCGTCTCGCCTATTTTTTTCTTTCCCATTCCATGCGCAAACAATTTCTAATTGCCACTATAGATAGCATGTGCCGTTTTTGTTATAATAATCAATTTAAAAACTTACGTTGTAAAACCTTGGCATAGAGTTGAAAGATAGTTTGGACTATAGCATTATAACAAAATTTAATCCAAATAGCTGTCTCTACTCAAATCCGTTGTGAAAGCATTGTGATCATATACACTAATATAATTATTACCGTAAGACTCAACTATAAAAGAATTGCACAAGATTATCACCAGATAAAAAAAAATATAAATAGACGAGAGACTTGCTTGACCTTTTCAGAAATCACGAAATATAAGCTGTATTGAGCTGTATCAGGCTGTAGTGTACCAAAAAAAAACTTGCTCAATACAACTGAGTTTATTGAAATCCGTTTGAGGAGCGACGTGCTCGAAATTCGGACTGGTATTCATTAATATTATTATTGTTGTAATACTTAACAATAATATATTTACAGTAATTATCACCGAAAGAAAATTTCAATAGACTTGCTTTAACTCATTAAAATTCATTAAGAAAATATTAATTTATCACCATATGCTACCACCATAATTCATTGTTTATGATATTTATGTTACTTCTATTTACAGAGATATTTTTTAACAAAAAGTTATTTACATTTACATTTTTTAAAAAAAATCGACAATTCACATAAGGTTGAATTTAAATTTGCATAAAATCTGATTGGAATATTCAAAAATGAATGGTTTCTTGATGTCACCATCACATTAATCTCATATCAGCTGATGTAAGTATTTAGCATGTCTGTTGCTTTTTGTGCTATTTATTTGTTGATTAAATTAAAAAAGTCAGCTGATTTCTTATGTCACAACTAATTCACACTTCACTCAACGTAATGTTTGATATGCTTTCCTGAAAACCTATTCACACAGTAAATCATAAATGAATACATATTTTGTTTCTCATCTACATTTTTACAGCTGTACTACGAAATGAATATGCTGCATGTGATAGTAATATATTGCTTTTCTTCAATTATTGTGAGTTATTGGTATATAATTGCATTATTACAAATAACGATTTTAATTAAGATTATATATAAATTTCAATCAAAATTTTCGATTGAGTATAATTTTTTTATTTAAATTGAATAAAAACTGTTATTATATGTATTTTTAATTAGGGATATTCAGACGTGCTTGGTAATTCGGTAGAGTACTAAAATCATATGTGTGTTTGTTCTGCTAATATTACAACGTTAAGC